GGGAACCGGGGGAGTCACTGTGCCAGGGCAGCAGCATGCTCCTCATGGCACCGGTCGGCAAACCGGGCCAGCCGGCCCTGCCTGGCCTGGCCGAGGAAGGCGGCCAGGGAGGGCAAGGCGTGGCCGGGACTGTGGAAGAGCTCAGCATACTCCTCCCTCAGCCCAGCGTATAGGGGGCAGTCATACACTGCGTGGCGTACGTCCTCTAGAGGGGCCTGGCAGTGGGGGCATGGGCGCTGGGTGCGGTCCAGCCGCTGCCACCGGCCTGTCTCCTCAGCCATCCAGTGTGACCCCGTGCGCCACTGCGCCAGGCGCACCCGGCGCCGGCGCTCGGGCACATCGCACAGGAACGACGCAGGCGTGTAGGCCTCCGCAGAGATGCTGCCCCCCCACACGTCCTCAATGTACCGCTGCACCTTCACGGATGCATGCGTGTACGAGGCAACATGGCGCTCCAGGAGCGCTTCCGCCAATTCAGGTATGGCAACCCCCTCGTCAGCAGTCAAGTCGCAGGGGGCGCCGGCCGCCGCGAGAACGCGGCTAACCTGCGCTGCCCAGGGCTGCCGGGCCAGTGGCAGCCCTGTGTCCGTGTCGGCAGCCAGCGCAACGCTATCCAGCATGGCAAGACGGGCGACCCGCTCGCCGCCCATAGCCTGCAGGTTGTCACAAAGCGTGCAACCTGCAAGGTCCAGTAGGCGGGCAGCGGCAGCTGCCCCGTCTCTGCCAGCACAGTGAGGGCTGGGGTGCTGTCCCGCACACCCAGCAGCCCTCGCAGGTACTCCAGCTGTACCCGCTCGCATGCCGTCCTGCCCTGCTGGGTCCTATGTGCTTGCGAGCTACCACCACACACACACACACGACACACACATACACACACAATACCACAACAACACACCACACGCACACAGAGAGGCTGCCCACCTTATCTGACCCTCCAGGTCCGCCACCCGCTGCTGCAGCACCTCGCTACTGCTGGCCACCTCTGCCTCTGCCTGGCGCTGCAGCTTCGCCTCTGCTGTGGCCAGGTGGTGGGGTGGGGCGGCCGGCAGGCACAGGCAATGAAGACTGCAGGAGGGCACGGGGGCGGGTGGTGGTGTGGGTGGCGGGTTGGGTGCGCGCAGGGTGTGGGCGGCGGGA